GCTACCTTGCGGCCTTCGACTCCCACGTCATCCGAATCTCCTGTCTCTCGAACTGAGCGGCGTCAGAATGGCTTGAGAAGATTCTTCGGCAGATCTCGCGAGCCAGAAGTACAGAATCGAGTGCTCACGCCACCATCGTCATCACTGGTACCAGCAGCGTCACCACTCATCATCTCGAGGTTCGCCAAAGCATTTGTAGACGCCCTAAACGTTACGCAGCTCTCCAATTTCCTCATCTGGATACTATACTACGAGGTCGTTGAGCTGCCGGAATCCTCAAAGGCTTGGTATGCACCAATCGACAATATGGACACGCGTGGGTGGGTTGCGCTGGGAGAGTTCCTGGCAAAGACACAAGAGGCGGGTGATGGATATGGCTTCGATCTGATTGTGTTGGACTCCATCTGTGATCGCATTCGGTTATCGCGCCCGATAGTCCACACGTTGTTGATTCGCTTCGCCGATCCAGAGAAGATGAAACACAGTATTCTCGCTGCAGCAGGAAGCATATTACCAAAGCATGATGCTACGACGATGGAAGCTCTCGAGGCCGCGCAGTCGAAGTTGGAAGACTTGCACAAGTTGGCAAGCCATCTAAAGCCCCAAAAAGGGTCACAGTACGAACCGTGGCAGACGATCATTCAAGAACGTCTACATGCGTTTCTGGACATGGTAGTTGGCCCACGCATTGCTCATCTGCATACGGGCAAGCCGCTTACGACAGTTGCAACATCAGAGCAACTCCCGAAAGAAGTTGCAGAAGGCATCAGGATGAACTATCTCTACGAAGCCATGCAACAGGAGCGCCATGTACCATTGGAGCGTTATGGTATTCGTCAAGGTCATAACAAACACGAACACCAAACTCTGCAATCGTCTTCATCTCCAGTGAACGACAACGAGGTCGAGCGATCGCGTAATCATGCGATTGCGCTCATGGCCGAGAATCGAGAACTGCGTTCTGATATCGCAGTCCTGCTGCAGGACAAGGAGAGACTGATCAAAGCAAACGAGAAGCTAGCACAGAAGGCTTCTAAACTCGGTCGCCTACAACCTGCGGGTTACATCCGTTCGCCTCCTTACGATGACTGGCCTGAAGAAATATCAGGCAAGGAGAAGGTTGACGGCGAACAACCAATGGCTACTCAAGCTCCACTGCGCCCAACCCGCCCCCGTTCCGTTTCCACCGGCGACATCGAAGCCCTCGCTGCAGCCCTCGAACAGGGACTCAACATCAGCACGCATCATCGCCAAAGCTCCGAGATCCTAGCTCAAAAATACGACGATGTGTTTTCCAGCTTGCATTCTTCTCCGCTGCCCACTCTCCGGCTTTCGGCACTCCCAGCACCATTGACGCCCTCACCTTCATTAGTCAACGGCAGTGCGACTAGACCGATGACACTAGGGGATGCGCCGAGGAGTGGTAGGCGTAGTGGTATGATATTCGATGGAGATAAAATGGGTCATTTGGCTGGAGGTGGGACACCAACGGCGGAGGATAGTGATGGGGATGGGGATGAGGATGAGGATAGGAAGAGGAGTGGTGGGTATGTTCCTGTTACGCCGACGCCGCAGGGGAGGAAGAGGTTTGATTTGCTGGAGTAGGGGTGAGATGTGGGGAAGATATGGGGGACGTGAGTGCTGGAGTGAGCGGATCTACCTGGATTTAGAGGGTGTACGGTATGTATTCAGAAGGAAGGCGGAAGCTTGGATGACCAGAGGTACTCATTGTAGTCATTGCATTGAGTAAACTTGCGTAGCATAGAAGCTAACGCACGCTCGATGAATCCAATCCGACTTTTCTGACTGCTAGTCTCAGCGCGTACGCGTCGACAGCGAAGCACAGGCATGCAAGAGCGCAAACATGTTCAGGTCGTTAGAGAAGCCCACAGAGCGTCCAAAGCGTCGGATCCAGATGTGCTCAATGACCAGCAGAAGCCCTGAAGATACCAAATCCTCTAGACCTCCTCCTCAATCTCGTCAATGACCTCTTCACCAGCCTCTAGTTCCTCCTCAACAAGACCCTGAATACCCTCCTCCTCCTCAAAGACTGGCTCAGGCTTGATCTTGGGAGCAGCCGGAGCCTTCTTCTTGGTGACGCGACCGGTCTTGACAGCTGTACGCTTGGTCAGTACGTCCATCTTATCTTATCACTCAGTGGCGCAAAACACTTACCACCCTTGACCGGACTAGCACTGCCCTTCTTCGCGCGCGGCTTCGCGACGCTCTTGGGGGTATCTTCACGGTCGGCGGACTCGTCCTTGAGCGCGGTAGCTGCTTTCTTGAACTTGCGCATCCGGTTCTCAAGTGCGTCGTAGGTCATTTCGCCGCCGTAGAGAGTGGCGATTTCGCGGATGTTTACCTGGAGGGAGGAGTTAGTATGGGTGGTTGAGAGGGATTGTAGTAGAGGATTTGTAGCATAGGATAGACCTACTTTGTTATCGAAGCTTGCGAGGGTTGCGATGAACAGGCGCTCGAGTACCTCTGGGTTGGTCCAGGTGATCGGCATTGTGGTGACGAGGCTGGTGAGTGTTAGTAGGGCTGGATGGATTGTGATGCTTCAGGAGCTTGGATGGGGTAGCGATTATTCCTAGCTATGAGAGCGAGGAAGCGCATGGGTCGAGGTTGTGGGCGGCTGTGTCGAGCTGTTGTAGTTACTCGTCGAGGCGCGAGTGCGCTCACTTGGGGAAATGTTGGGCAGCTGGAGAACTTACTTGTTGGAGATGGTTGGTGAAGCTAGTGTGTTAGATCGGAGTCTCGATGACAGACGTTGATGTTGTCACTGTTGTTAGGGTGGTAGAGTGTGTGAGAGCAGAGTTCAGGTGGCAGAAGGTTCAAGATATACGGCGGGAAAAGTGAAGGTGACGGTAAGATACGGAAGGGCGCAGCTCTGCCCGCTACTCTTCTCCGCCTTCACACCGCTCGCGTATCTCCCACGTGCGTGACGTGGTGAAGGCACGTAAATTTGTCGAGATACGACAGGACCGATGCGGAAGGCAGGCTATGGGATTACAGATCAAAGTGACGAGGGGAATATCATGGGTATATTGGCAGGTACCGTGCTCGAGCAGATAGGCCCTATATCCAGTACTTCCATATGTCGCGAGACGGTGACCAATCCTGTCTGGTCGAACGCAAACTCTGGGTATCGAAACTACATCAAGCCTTGACCTTAGTTGCCTTTGCATCCTCGCGCGCTTTTTTGTCCTTTTTCCCTTCGGCTTTATGCCGCTTCGCCTCCTCTCTCGGGTCAATAACCAACAACTCTTCTTCGTTTTTCCGCTTCCACTCCAAGTCTTTCCCTAACCTGTCTTTTGCAAAACTGAGCGAATGCGACATCCACCCTGCGTCGTCATCAGACTCCTCCTCATCCTGCTTGTCCCAGGCTTTACAAGACTGGCATCCTACTATGAAGTGTAAATCACATGCACCTTCTTCTTCTTCGTCGGCTCCGTTCGCGTCTCCATTACCTTGGTTGCTGGGTGTTTCTTCTGGTAATGTTGGAGTGGCCATTTTGGGGGCGGCAGTGGAGTCTGCTGAGTCCAGCTTTGATTTGAACCGGTTGAGAATGTCCAGCGCTGACTGTTCGTCTTTTGCATTGCCGCCTGCTCCGCGTTTCCGTCCCCGTGTTGTAGTTGACGGTACCATTGACTCCAGTAGCGACTTCTTCTTGGCTGGCCCTGTATCTTGGGCAGCTGTGTTCCGCTTCATCGATGCCTTGAGGTCGGCAATCTGCTGGTTGACGCGGTCTAACTTCGATCGCTTCTCGGACTCAGGCGACAGTTCTCGTGGTGGGGTGCGCGCTTTGGGTTTGGGTGGTGATTTGGGAGTGGCTTTGTGCGCAGGTTTGGGCGATGGGGATCGTGGCGGCGACTTTCGCGACGGTTTGCGTATGGGTATTTCTCTCGTCTCCTCGGGTGCTTTGGATGCAGGCTTCTCATCCCCTGCGCTGACTAGCTTGGTGTTGAACTTGGGCTTCTTCGCGACCGGCGCCGCATCAGCCTCGGCTTCATCGCCAAAGCTGAGCACGTTCTTGCCAGCCTTCCTCTTCGCCTTCTTGGGCTTCTTGGTCTCGGACTCATTCGTCGTAGCCACCTGCACCCTCTTGACCATGTCCTCGAACGGGTTTATGATGATCTCGGCGCCCGTGACCTTGGTGGGGTACATGGGCTGGTCGTCGCTGCCGTCGCGTATCTCCGCCTCGGCCATCTTCATCAGGTTGTAGATGGTGTCGCCCGCGACCCTGCCGAACATGGTGTTCTTGCCCTGCAGCTCTGGGGTGGCAGCCAGGGTGAAGAAGAACTGGCTGCCATTGTCGTCCTTCTTGCCCGTGTTGGCCATGCCCAGCAGCCCCCGTCGCGTGTACTTCAGCCGGCTGTGGAACTCGTCGGCAAAGGGCTCGCCATCGTAGCTGCTCTCTCCGCCCTGCCCCGTGCCCGTGGGGTCGCCGCCCTGCAGGATGAAGCCCTTGACCAGGCGGTGGAAGACGGTGTTGTCGTAGTAGCCATCGAGACACAGCTGCAGGAAGTTACGCGACGTGATGGGCGTCTGCTTGGCGAAGAGCTCGATCTCGAGATCGCCCGTGGTCGTGTGCAGGACGACTTTGGCCGTCGGGTTCGGCTCGAGGTTGTACGTCGTGGCCATGTCAGCGACGGAGTTCCGTTATCGAGGTGCGTTATCAGGGCCGTTATCAGTGCCGTCACCAGAATGCGCCGTGGTTGCGCCCGTGGAGGATTCGCGAAGTCGCGTCCCAACTCTATCGCGAATTTGTTGGCCAGTGAGCGCTGAGCTGCCCTGCACGGGCCTCGGCAAACGTGCCCCGACGTCATCTTGGCTGCTCACCCACCATGCACCACAGCCTGCATACTCTCACTTAACTTTCCGCCGCCCGACACAGGACCGATGCCTTACATATAATACCGCTGTTCTCAACTCTCACCGCTTCTGGTTCCCTTCTTGTCTCCCGGGTTTGGACTCAAGTCCACTTGACAGTTGGCACCATGCTGCCCTACATCAACGCACGTACGTGTTAGCATGCTGAGCCACTACCACCAATACTGACCATGGTGAAGCTTTTGAATATGTGGCTGGTGCGCTTGGAAATTCGGCTGATGAGCGTAAGATCTCGCATGGCACATGTGGCTGATGTTGTGCTGACTCCACCCAGTCAAGCTCATTTTCTCCTTCTACCTGTCGTATCCTCTAGCTGCCGTGTTGAAAAGGATCCCCGACAAGGACCCATGGAAGAAGAATGTCTTCGTCATTACGTGAGGCTCATCAGATCTTCTTTCGGATGAATTGATGTTAATGGCTCCAGCGTCTCCATGTTCTACCTTGTTGGCCTTTTTGACTTATGGACCGGCTTGCGGACCATCTTCATCAGTGCCGGTGGGGCCTATCTCATCTCTTCCAAAATTCATTCGCCGTATATGCCATGGATCGGATTTGTATTCCTTATGGGCCACATGTCGGTGAACCACATCTACCGACAAGCTGTGAATGACCCATCGGTCTTTGACATTACCGGAGCTCAAATGGTCCTGGTCATGAAGCTGACTGCTTTCTGCTGGAACGTCCAGGATGGTCGCCTTCCGGACTCTGAGCTTTCCGAGCAACAGCGCGCCCACGCTATCCGGACAATGCCCAGCATGATCGACTACGTCGGCTATGTCTTTTTCTTTCCTGCCCTCATGGCTGGTCCAGCCTTTGACTACGCTGATTACAGTCAGTACATCACTACGACCATGTTCACCCTCCCACCAGGCACCGATCCGTCCAAGGCACCCCCAACGCGCAAGAAGCGGAAGATTCCTCGCAGCGGCATGCCTGCCGTAACCAAAGGAGTCTACGGAACTCTCTGGCTGGTCGCATTCATCAAATTCTCCAGCTGGTACTACCCTGAATTCTACCTCGGGGATGAATACATGCAATACAACTTTTTCCGCAGGATCTGGCAGCTCTACATGCTTGGTCTTACCACGCGTATGAAGTACTACGCAGTTTGGAGTCTATCTGAGGGATCTTGTATCCTTTCCGGAATCGGCTACAACGGTCTTGACCCCAAGACTGGTCGAGCTAAATGGGACCGTCTCACCAACATCAAGCCACTCGAGATTGAGGCCGCGCAGAATGCTCGTGCTTACCTTGGTTTCTGGAACATCAACACCAACACTTGGCTGAAGAACTACATGTATCTTCGTGTGACACCAAAGGGACAGAAACCTGGCTTCAGGGCTACGCTTGCTACATTTGTGACTAGCGCATTCTGGCATGGATTCTACCCTGGCTATTACATGGCGTTCATTCTGGCAGCTCTTGTACAAACTGCTGCGAAGAGTAGGTCTCTGATGATGCGCTATCTGCTTTCATGCTGACATTCACCAGATGGCCGCCGATTGATCCGTCCGCTGTTCATGACGCCAGACGGGAAATCACCTCTACCTTCGAAGCGATACTACGACCTCTTCTGCGTCGTCCTTACACAGACTGTGTTTGCGTTCGTAGTCGCTCCCTTCATCCTTCTTGGCTTTTCGGATACGATCAAGATCTGGGCACGGGTTTACTTCTACACTCTCATCGGTGTGGCCGGATCATTTGCTGTCTTTTCGCGGTCGTTCCCCATCCGCAAGCAGCTCGTTCAACTTCAGACGGCTCGTGCGCCCCCAGCGGCAGCCACCACATACGATGATCCTGCCATTGAGAAGGCAGCACGGGAAGAGATTCGACGAGAAAGGCTAGCGAGGACCAACTCGTCAGACAGTGTCAAGAGTCACGCCAAGATGCCTCTCCTGGGTATTGCGGATGATCCCGAGGCGGAGATTGACGAGATCGTGGCCGAAGTCAAGGCTGAGATCGAGCAAAGGAAGAGGAGGGGCAGCGTGATGCAAGGATTTGATCTCAAGCAAGCCGTGCAGGACAAGCTGAAGCAGTTCAACAAAAAGGGGTAGAGTATGATACACTGGCGGCGATGCTCCAGTAGCAGTCGCGGGTACATCTTTGTGGTATAGGGATGGGAAACAGGCCGGCTTGGGGATCAGCCGTCCAATATAGCCTGAATACATACTCAGTAGCAAGAGTCGTTGCGGACTTGATTCCGAACCTTCCCGCCTTTCACCGGATTTATCACAGGCCTTCGTGCACGTTCGTCGCTTCAGCCCAACGTCAAATCTTCGGGCAAATCATCCCGCCCAGTTCAATCGTTCAGCCCAGCGCGAGCTATCGGCGACCACAGACATCGTCCGCTCCTGTCTGAGCTAGCGGGTGTCTTGCGTGCTAAATGTGGCGCAAACTCTATTGCCATGTGGTAGCTCGGTAACGCCGGCCTTTTGACACCGACGCCGCGTCACTCCAGCGCCGCCCACAAAGTTTGCGGCATCTTCTAGCTTCGGGCGTCAAGAGCTTCTGTCACCGAAAGTTTCTTTGAACTCCCGAAATCCCATGGAGAATATGATCATCGCATCGTGGCGTGGTCGCACAAGTGCATGCGATTTTGTAATTCGAGGCTAACGGCCTAGAACTCGAGATCCAGTGGCTGCATGATCGGACCGACGAATCGTATAATCGATCGCACATCCCGCAGGTCTGAGACTTCCTAGACGCACATCTGCACGGAGCGCCCGTCGCCTCATGTAGACGACTCAACTCCTTCCTTCAGGTCGCAACGCTCCCATGCCGCGTGGTTCATTTCCGGGGCCCAGGTACCTGGAGGGTCCATCCCAGTTCAGCCCGCTAGACGATCGTGTTCTCTCAGGCTTCTCCGTCGCTACATGAACGCTTGGCTGGAATTTGTTGCCGGACGTGCAGCTAACGGTGCCGCTTCCTTCTACAGGCTTAACGCTCGAGCAGTGCACTTATACCCATTACTTGACATCTTGCAACACTTGTGGTGTTTTCGCCATACTAGCCTGATGCGACTCCACTTCCCGACGACATGCTTCTAGTGTACCGATTCCAAACACGCCATGTCGCGTGTCGAGTAGTCGATCTAGCATCCCATCACTACCACTCTTCGTTTCCGCCCCAGTGTACGGCGAATACCGAGATGATGGACTACAGGCATTGGGTATGATCGGAACCGTGGGCGAGGTGCCGGTAGCTGATCCTTCTTCATGGTTCCCATCCCCATAACCCACAGCCCTTTCTTTGCCTTTTTTCGCTACGATCCTCGCATGCACGCTCAGTACGCATGACTGCATATTCTCGCGGGCTTATACGAATCGGTGGTCCTCCAGACTGATCCGCACCGCGATGGGTGTGCCGGATAATGGCCCTGTAATTGCTGGAGTAACGTGGATGTTGACGATATTGAGTGGCGGGTTTCTGGCTTTGAGATTCTATGCGAAGTTATCGAGGAAGCAAGGGCTTTGGTGGGATGATCATATCCTGACTGTCTCATGGGTAAGTTTACGACTTCTATAAGTATGATGTCGCTAATGGGAATGAACAGGTCCTCCTTCTCGCCCAGGCCATCATCACACAAGTTGGACAACAACTAGGATTTGGAAAACGACTGGAAGATGTCAACCCCAAATACCTCATGACCATCGCAGTCGGAATGTCCGTCGCCGCATCGATCTCCTGCTTCGCCTCCACGCTCTCAAAGATATCCTTCGGCGTCACTCTCCTCCGCCTCACGTCCGGTTACCTACGCGGGTTCGTATGGTTCTGCATCGTGACCCTCTTCCTCATAATGCTGCCAAGTGCGTTGGCTACATGGGTCCAGTGCCAGCCGATGGCGAAAGCTTGGAACAAAGACCTACCTGGAACATGCTGGGACTCCAGCCACTCAATCGACTACGGTATCTTCAACGCCGCGTGGTGCGCTGCGGCAGACTTTGCGCTAGCACTGCTTCCATGGTATCTGATATGGGGATTACAACTGAAGCTCCGCGAGAAGATCGGAGTGGGCATCGCCATGAGCATGGGTGTATTGTAAGTCACTTCGAGTCTACACGACTGATAAGCAGCAATGCTAACACGACTTCCCCCCAGATCCGGTGTCTGCGCCATCGTAAAAGGCGTCTACGTAATCCAACTCGGCCAAAAAGACTTCTCCTACAACGGCAAAGAACTCACCATCTGGACCGGCGTCGAAACCGCAACCGCCATCATCGCCGCTTCCATCCCCGTTCTCCGCGTTTTCTTCAAGGAAACCATATCCTCGTACTCGCGCTCGCATACCAAAACCAACCAAAGCGTCCCGCTGTCTCGATTGAACCAAAGCCAACACTCTACCACCACGACTACCGTACATGCGATGGGCAAAGGCAAGGAAGGGCGCTGGACGGTGATCGAGGATCAGGGAGATGATTGGAGCCAAAGGGGAATTTTGGAGGATGAAGAGGTGGGGAGGAGTCGACGGGGGACGGTGTATGAGGAGGATCAGATTTTGACGACGAATACGGTTACGGTTACGATTGAGAGTGATGCGAGATCGTTGTCTGATCAGAAGGCGTGGTCTTTTTTGGGGATAGCTCACTAATACGTCTTGTAATGAAACATGTCATATCGAGCTTTTGGAAAGTGGATGACTCACGGAACACATGTGCCAGGTATGCACTGACTGCACTTAGGTGCATGATACGCATCTCGATCGGATGCCGTTCGCTGTTGCTGTACTCGAATGTTTGGGTGGGGCTTGTTGTGAGTACGGTAGGCACGACTGCGAAGGTAAAGGCGAAGCTTCCCGCAGACAAACCCAGCCTTCGAAGGTCTTGGACGCCATGTTCGCTGTTTCCTACTATCTCGCAAAGCTCGGATGAGAAGGGTCTAGCGTCGTTTGCTCTCACCTCAACAGGTGAGTGGGGCTTCCAGCGTTGATGTCGAACACCTTTAGGCAGCAAGTGCAACCATCGGGAAGCCACGCACCTTCACTCTAACACCCTTCGCACGACCGGCGCTTCTAACTCTACACACCTACAATGTGGCGCTCACACCACAGTCTGTTGTCATCGCGCCGAGACAACACATACCATACTCACTGCGGCCTATGCTCGTCGTTTTGAAGACACATCACAGCTCCAGCCTAATCGGCAATACACGCGAGGAGCAAGCATTGAAGCTGAACTTTCGCCGACCCACCCAAAGCAAGCAGGGTTTAGAGGAAGCTGCAGACCGACGAGGAGATGCTGACCGCATTTAGCGGCACGTAGTACGCACAACCTCCACATATACTGCAAGCCTATTTCTAACCGCTCACAGTATCGGCTATACAGTACAAGGAATGCCTCAAGACAACCGGCAGTGACCTACTTGGCTCTAAGGGAGAAGTGACTGATCTGACGGTTACGGTCGATATCCTCCAAGCCCGGCTGCGTGAAGCCGATACCGACAGAACAAGAACGATTTGAGAGCTTGCAGATGGACGGAAGTATAGCGACCTTTCCGCTCTGCACACGCAGATGCTTACCACCGCATTCAGTCACATGGGAGAAGTCAAGACAGCCAGGATCTGGCTTGACATTTTTACTGTTACCGACAAAGAACTAGTCACACATTTTTACTAGTACCGACAAAAGACTTGTCACTTGGAATGTACCGTTTGCAGGCCTGGGTTTCTGAGGGTGGATAGCACCCGGTTCAAAGCCGCCGCCGTACCCGGCCTCACGTACGACAAAGGTCTCAGCGAGCTCGTGGATTACTTGAAGGACGAGCGGCCCAGAGACCTGTACTTACAAGGGATGGTGCAAGAGGTGCTGGTAGAGGGAGTGGAGTTGCCCATCCGTGCGCTCATCTGCCAACAGCGGGTTCGAGCTGCCCTCGAGGAAAAGCTCGCCTGCCTCGAGCGCCTCATACCATTCATGGATGTCATCACCGCCAAGTCCGATGACTCTCCCGCCACTACTAGTCAGGCTCCTCCTGCAAAGAAACAGAAGCCAACTGTGCCTGGAGAAACTGCTAGTGTGATTACCCCACCATCCAGATACCAGGAACCAGCATGGTTGTGGACGCCTCAACCATACCCGTACCAGCCGTCTGTAGATTCACCTGAGGACGAACCGACAACCCCACTACAGCAATGACCACCGCGGCATGTACTGCTACTCTACAGCAAAGCGTATCTAGCACCACCTTCTTTCACGACCAACGAACTCGGATGAGCGTATGCATGATATCACGCGGCCTACAAACCACTTGCATGGCACACACGCAGAATGTTGGGATTAGGGAGACGCAGCGAAGACGAGCTAGACAGCAGCCTGCGCTCTGAGCGGCAGACGATCGAAAACCTCAGGCATGAGATCAGCCAAGTGTGGTAACACGTTCAGCGGCTGGAAGGTGTCAGCGACGCCGCGAGAATGTGAACGCGTTCCAACGGGCTATGCAGGATAAACGCGACATACCGTTTGGCTAGGGACGACGATGGTCGCACTCAATGGAGTGGGAACTTGGACACACGCCGCGGTGAAGTGCCTTCTGTCATACCCTGGAGAGGACGGCGATGCTTCCTGCATGCGGCGATTGTGTACGTGGACTAAGGTATTGTCCCTTGAGAATGCTGGCAATGATCATGTCTAGAATGGGCCCAGTTGCGCGATGTGAAGTTGGACCACGCTTGCAACATGCAATTTGTATACAATGTGATATCCTAGTTGAGTTTGTGTCACCCACTTCGTCCCATGGTATCGCAGTGACGCGGAACAGATAAGTCACTCACGACGTCCGGAATCCACAACACACCCATTCAGTCAGGTCCGGCTGGACGCAAAGTGTAGCGCTAACATAACCAGGTACCTGGATTCCGGCTTGCTGTCGCCCATTGCAACCTCCGCGTGCCCTGTGTATCAAGTAGTTCAGTAGCCATTGCGCTGGCTTTCGCAATTGTTGTCTCATCTGAAATGCTGTTGTAATCAACGTCACCATGGCGGCTGTTGGGATCATCGCTCCGCGGAATGCGTAGGACCACTGGTAGATCCGTCTCGCCCAGCTGTCGTGGCTCAAGGGCCGGCTTGTTTGGCATCACCAGCCGAGGGCGAGGGGGTCGGGGTGCCGTGCCTTCCCCCGACGCCTCGGCTGGCTGCTGGAAGGTTGTGTCGTCGTCGGCTTGCTCGTCCATGACGCTGTGCGCCAGGTCTTCATCTGGTGTGCACATCCAGTCTTCGGGCAAAGGCAGATGCTGCTCAGCGTTCGATCATGAGGCCGCTGTTTACGGTAAGCAGCTGTGTTGTTGTATAACTGCACGACTTACTCTTCGTACTCGCCAAATTGTCTTGGACCACCCGCACCCTGCTCGCACACAGCTTCCTCCGGAGACAGAGGCGGAGCGTCGATCATTGCTGTCTCGCTAGTCGTTCTGTCAGGCGCAGAGGCGAATTCATCTGCTGTGCCGCTGCAGTCGTTGAAGTGGAGCGACGATGTGCAAGGGTGCAGGCCATCGTCTGCTGTAGACCGACGCGGAGGCGGTGCAAAGCTATCGGGCATCATGTATTCGCTAGCAGCTGATCTGAGCCTTTCTTTCATCGCCATGTTCGCCTTGACTAGTGCAGGCATACCGTTCTCAAGGTATACGACACCCCGATGGGTGAGGTCCATGGCGGTGTCGAATTTGGCCCGGGTCTGTTCGGTCCTCTGCGAACTTAGCGGGAGCCCAAACTCAGTCGGCGTGTTGAGCAGAGTCACCCATTCTGCCAGGGAACCGAGGTCGATAGGTACTTCGATTGGCTTCAGAGTTACCGGGGCTCGTTCAGTGGAGTTGGTATATGCAGTCTGAAGCCTTGTCTCCAACGCCGCTGCAGACGGTTTTGGTTTCTTCTGTTGTTTCTTCTGTTGCGGGGTATTGATGAGAGATAAGAGAGGAGGAATGAGAATGAGGAATGAGATAAGAGATGAGTGATGAGGGATGGTGGATGAGCAGAACGTCAATATTGGGCCTCGCAAGCCTTGGAAGTTTTACCCAGTCGCGATGTTGATGACTGTCGTGCTTTCTCTCCATGGCAGCCGCGTCATAGAGACGCGTGCTTTCCGTGAACGCCCATGAAGCTCCAGTCTGCGGGGCGTTCCTTCCATGAATCTCTCACTAACTTACCGAGATTCGACACGCGACGAAGACGAGCACAATAAACACTTGCATCATGATCGTATCATCAACTCACAAATGCATATCCCAGTGTATACAACAAGATCCCAGGTCGATGTCTTTCTCGGTTGATCGAAGCCAGCGACGCGGGGATTGCCGGACGGCACGTGTTTTGTTACTCAGCACCCGCCGGTGTTTCAGCTACCTTGCCTGCTCTCCAGACACCACCCTTCACTGAGCATGTATCCACTGCGACCCACCGGAGAGCGTCCGCGATGGCCAGACCGCCAGCAAGACGAGCATGCGACAGGTGCCATGCCGTGAAAGAGAGATGCAGGCGCGTCCCCGGCCAGGATGCCTGCGAGCGATGCCAACGCCTCCGCAACTCATGCCAGACCCTACGACCAGTTGGCACTGCTGGCCGCAAACCTCGGTATCAGCGCACCGAGGATACGACACGCAGCCCGCTACACACGGCTCGGAGCGACAGCCTTTCTGTTGCTTCTTCGTCACCCAGATGCCCAGCCTCGGCCGCGAGCCCAGCGATGCCGGATTGGGACATAGTCGCGCTGCCCAGGGCTCCATCCCCGTTCGCAGATCTGAGTGAGCGGGAGATGCACCTCGTCAAGGGCGTATCCCAAGGCCAAACGCGCATCGACCAGTTCCTCATCGCGCCGAGCTTCCGCATCTGCCACCACAAAGCCTTCGCGCGTCAACTCCACAACGCAACGTCGTGGGTGCAAGATTCATTGATAGCCACCGCAGCCCTCCTAGCTTGCGAGTACGAGCCTGGCCCGAACCATGAGAACCGAGTCATTGGCCACAGGCGGGCTGCCGCTGCCGTTTCCACATTGCGATCTGTCAAAGCCGTTGACCCTGGAGACGTTCAGACTGTGTTGATGCTTGCAGTGAGCGCCATCACATTTGCCCTGCACATATCCGGGAGCTCATTGGAGATCTGTCGACACACTCTCGACATTATCAAGCCCATGTACGAATCGACAGTGGAGCTCGGTCCGGACTGTCAGGCTTTCGTCATCTGCCTCATTCAAGCGGAGACCGAAGAGTGCATCATACGGGGCGAGGCTCCAACCCTGCGGCTCGAGGTCCACGAGGACGATGACACTGTTGATCGATATATGGGAATTGCCTGGCCTATGCTACCGTACCTCTACGATGTTTGCAAGATCACGGACTCGCTACGCCAGAATCCTAACCTCGATCTATCCGAGGTTGCGCAAGCCCTGAACGACATCGAAGTCGCCGTCGAGGCCTGGACGCCAATCCTGCCCGTTGAGCAAATCAGCCGTTTTTTACAGGAAGAGGTGGCTAGCATCATGTCTCAAGCCAAACTATATCGCTGGTCGGTGCTGCTTATTGTACATCGACTGCGACATCCATATGGCACAGCGTCAGCGAGAGGCATTGTCATTTCAAATGCTATCTTCGAAGAGCTGCGGATGATACTCCAAATCACCAAGCGCTCGGTTCCAGGCGCCATTATCCCATATGTATTTGCTTGCTTCGAGCTGGTCGATTCTGCTCAGCGCGAAATGGCGCTCGACAAGATCGACGTCGTCATTGAGTTTTCGAAAGAATTGCGAACAAAGGTCAAGAAGCAACTCATGGCATTCTGGGTCATCAAAGATAGTATGGCTCAAGTACATTGGAGCGAGATCGTTTCATGGCTTCCTCAATGACACTATCGACTATGAACGATACACAGCTCAAAGAACGAAAGTCTTTAGTTGGAAGCATCTGGGTGAGATGGGACGACTATACGAAGTCGTTTGCACGGGAACAAGCACTCCGACCGCTCCACTTCTTCCAGGAACAGCGTAGCGATGCGATACCCATCGTGCACACTACTCAAGTGTTCTATGGGCTGGCTGTCGCATTGCCATGCGCTTGTATTTCGTCGCCGTCGCAACCCTAATCTTCTTGCCCCACAATAGCAAGGGGATGGGGATTAGCAAGATCGCAAAGCATACAGCCGCCGTGATGATGGAGACGTTCTGTATACCCATATTGTTCGTCCACGGCGTGAGTGCGAAGAGGATGACCACGGCGAATAGGTTCCGGACAAAGACGATGCCTATCATAGCATCTCCGAGGATCTGAAGGTTGTCATGTCAGTGGGAACTCCGCTTCGAATAGACTGGGAGCTGTCGACTCGCCTCTTGATAGCAATCTGTCACGTATGATAGCGCGACACCACTAGCTAGGACAAATGTGAAACCGAACAGCCCGAATCCTACGGCCAATATCATCCAGTGCAGACCCTGAAGAAGCTATTAGTGAACCATCATTACAGCCAGGTGTTACCAACATACCCTGGCTAAGGCTAGCCCAAACATCAGGATACCGCCCGGGAGCAGGATTGCTGAGATAAGAGTGATCCACAGGCGCATCTCTGGTTCGTAAATGCCTCCATTCCGCCTGGCGAAGTACATGATCGATCTGTCGTTCAGGAAACCACCCGCGAAGAATCCAAAGAACGTGCCAACGAACGGAGCAATGTTCATGAGTCCAACGCCAGAAGCTCCAAAGTTGTATGGTGGTTGCAACAGGTAGACGGCCTGTAATGAGCTCATCAATGCCATGCACGCCAGTAGGGTCCCATAAGTGAGTGCAGCAAAGGCCACGGCAGGGAAAGTGAACAAGACAACGATTGGCTGGTAGAAGTGGTGGCCGATGCGTTGATTGGAAGGGGTGACGATGGCCATGCGCTGACGATAAGTCTTTCGTGGTAAGGAGGTGTCAATTCGGGATTGTATGCGCTCCATGGCGGTGTGCTTTGCGTCGCCTTTGCCGTCTGTGGCCTTTTGCAGCCCTGAGTCGGGACGGCCGTCCTCGAGTCCATCCGAGCCAGAAGTGCCAGCCGTATGTGGCACACTCTGACCATTGAGAAAAGGGACGTACTTGGACTCTTCGAAAAAGAACATGACGAGGACGAAGTTTAGACCGAGGAAGATTGTGCACCACCACCAGATCCATCTCCAGCCCTGCGACTCCACAACGAAGCCGGCGGCTACCGGGCCGAGGGAGGCACCCACGGACGTGAAGACGAGGTACCATGCGTTCATCGTTCCATGTTGATGGACGAAGAACAAATCGGCAATGGTGATCTGGATGACGGCCTCGCTGATAGCACCGCCCAGTCCAGCAAGGAAGTTGCTGCCCAAATAGTCACCATAGTTCGCCATCTGGGTCTGCCACAACACTCCACTCAACTGGAGCGCAGAGCTGAGCAGGTACAGAGGTCGTCGTCCGTACTTGTGTACGAACGGCATGAAGAGCATGCAGCCGACTGCAAGCCCAGCACAGCTCATAGCGCCTCCATTGTTCAGCTGATCGTTGCTGAAGCCCAGTTCAGGCGCAATTTGACCCCATGATGTCGTGCCGCTCTGGAGCTGTACAAATGTCCAAAGGACAAAGAAGCCGGTCAAGCCGAAGTTGATGGTCTTGCGCAATTTGCTCCAGTTCAAGGGGTCATCTGGTTCGGTGCTAGGCACTGGGTGGAGGATGACGTCCGTTGCGGGTCCCGTCACTACAGCGGGACAGTCAGTGTGCGGTCTTTACAGCGGCAAATGCGAGTCTTACAATCCTCTAGTCGTAGCGTTCCCGGAGCCCAAAAAGTGCCATCATCCGGTCTGGAGCCATTGCTGTCGGCCATCGCTCTCAGGAGGGTACGAAACAAAAATAATCGCGTTGAAGAGGTTGTCTATCACAGGCATGGAGCTTGTTGCGTGGATATCTTCCCCACTGTTATCCAGAGCTTTCGTGCGTATATATACCATAGCGACCGCTGAGGCAGTGTCAGCTGTGTTCTGTACGTTATCTGCGCATCCCTATCTCGAACCCCGGATTGCGTGTTTCCGCAGGCGAACGGGGCGAATTGGGCGAATTGCGAATTAAATAACCCACCGGCTTGGCGCTGGCGGCTGTGGGGTAGTGTCGCGCTAACGTCTGCCGCTCAGACACGAAACGAAATGTTGCTCCGACACGGCCAGATATCAACACTTTGCCTCGCGATCATGCGGACGAGATCTGGACCCCGCATTATTCAGCTACGGATAGATACTACGGCATCTGAGTATTCCAATGATATACATATCTTAGCATCTCCGGATGCTGGCCATTACCAATATTACGCGTCCAGCCCGTATTCTTCCAGCTCGAATCCTTCCGAGACTTAGCAATCCCCTTCGTTCATCGACTATGGCTTCCACTTCATGGGAGAGTAAGGTTGCTGCAAAGCAGCAGTCCAGTCGCGAGAAGATACCAAAAGAATGGCTTCTTCCAACATCAGTCACGGACATGCTCCAGATGCCGCTTTCAGAACATCCAAATCGCTTGATGAAGATGGGCATTGCACGAAAGTCGGGACTGTTGAGCGAGAAGGAACTGGAGATCACCGAGAAGTATACCGTTGAAGAGCTATTGAAGCGGCTGAAGGATGGTACCCTATCATCACTGGAGGTTACCATAGCGTTCTCGAAGAGAGCAGCTATGGCACAGCAGTTGGTACGTTATATCTTACTTCGAATGAGGGTCAACCCACTAAAGTAGCGTTGTAGCTGTCTTGTCTCACGGAGACATACTTCCCTGAAGCACAAGAGCGAGCACGCTTCCTCGACAGTGAAAGAGCTAGCGGTCGTATCGTAGGCCCTCTGCACGGTCTACCCATCAGTCTCAAGGATGCTTTCCAAGTCGCTGGCTCAGCGGCCACTATCGGATTCGTTTCGTTCCTGGATCATGCGGCTTCGAAAGAGAACTCGCCGCTTGTGGATATCCTGCTCGAGCTAGGCGCTGTCGTATATGTCAAGACCAACATCCCTCAGACAATGATGGTGAGTGCATCATCCCGCCTTGACATTGATATGGACCATGAGCTGACAAGATATAGACGGCTGACTCACAAAACAACATCTTCGGGCGTACTTTGAACCCTCACAATACTGCTCTCACTGCGGGAGGGTCGAGCGGAGGCGAAGGTGCCCTTGTTGGATTTCGAGGATCTCCACTCGGTGTTGGAACAGACATTGCAGGTCAGTACATGTCGTTGAAGTTGTAGTGATCAGACTTGCTGATCTACACTAGGATCAATCCGCATACCCGCTCTCTGCTGTGGCACCTACGGCTTCAAGCCCTCTACAGCGCGCATTCCAGACGGCGGACAAATATCGCCCGTTTCCGCTGGCAACAACTTCTTCAACCCGTCCGCTGGTCCCCTAGCAAACGACATACACGCTCTGGGCATCCTATGTCGGTCACTCCTATCAGTGAGACCGGCCTTGTACGACGCCTCTGCTCTCGACGTTCCTTGGAGAAGCCTAGAAGTACCACCGAGCGCACCGAAGCTAAGACTGGGTCTTTTGGCCGAGGACTCAGCCTTCCCCTTGCATCCGCCGGTTAAAAGAGCGCTAGCACAAGCTGTCAGCGCGCTCGAAGCAAAGGGCCACGAGGTGGTTCCTATCGCGCCGGCGCGCGCTCAGGTCGCCAATGCGCTAGCCCTCGCGTTTGCCTTCTTTATGCTTGACGACACTCCCCCGACGCATGTAGCCGCTAGCGGTGAGCCTGTTGTTCCTTCAGTTATCCAGTCCATGGAGGTTTTCCATTCCTTCAAGTGTGACTTCCTGGACGACTGCAAGGGCCTGGAGGGCATCAAGAAATTAGCTGCGCTCAATGTCAAGCGGGATGCTATCCAAGATGAGTGGAGGAAGATTTGGAAGGAGCAGAAATTGGACGGCGTAATCGGTCCGGCTGCGCAGCACACTGCGGTCGCGCACGATACATACGGGTTACCGCCGTATACGCTACTGTTGAACGTATTGGATGTAAGTCATGCTTACCCATCTCGAAGTGGCTGTAGAGAGCATTGTTAACGTCAAGCCAGTATCCCGCATGCGTACTTCCCTTTGGTAAAGCCTCAAGCGCTCTGGATGCTGAGCCCTTTGTCATGGGCCCTGGCCAAGTAGGCCCGAGTTGTAAGTCGCCGTCTTGACTCTTTGTACGGGTTTTAGACGCAAGCTAATGTATTCAATGCAGATAATCCCAAGCTCGTGGATGGTGCACCGACTGCCATCCAGGTCTTCACGAACAAGATGCGCGATGAAGAATGCCTGCAGGTGTCTGCTATCATCGATGAGTGCTTGAAAGCTGTGTAAATGTCCTTTTTTTGTACTTATATGAGCATACTTCGATATCGCACATTCTACCACTTGCAACTTCGGCGTCGCACTGCAACGTCTTATATTCTGCGAGATGTCTTCAACACTGCTGTATTTGACTGTCTGCAATGTCGACCGCTCGCTCCTGCAACATGATCAATGCGGTGGTAATCACCATGTCAACCAAGAAAAAAACTGAACAGGCCTACATCCTACATCAAAATGGAAGCACACAAGATAGGTGACCTGGCGGCGATGTAGGCTCTAGACCTGTTCAGTTTTATTCTTGTATGAGCTTTCACTGTCTAACCGATTTATCTCGTACTCATCATCTCATCATCTCGTCTCGTCGTCCACTCTTCATAGTCTACATCCTTCCACTGTACAAGTCCATCCAAATCGTCTACCATTTCCCTCTAGTGTGCATGATCCTCGCCGCAACCGCAGTCAGGCCCAAATTCGCGTCGGGCCTGTCTCGCTTCCTCCTGCCATGGCTGTAGGGTGACCGCCCGCTTCGTCTCCCGTTCCCACTTTCCATGACCCTTCTTCTCGTTGAGTTCGACGAGAGCATCCAGCCACGCGGCAAGTCTGTACCCCGCCTTTGCGAGTTGCTTCGTAACGACAGGAATAGCAGTGTCCCAGTAGGCTCCTGACAACTCTTGCGCGAACACTGCATCAGGGCCGTTGGGAATGACAGTGGAGCACACGAACTTGTTGGCGTCGCGCGCCCAAGTCATGGAGCTGCTGACTGCATCCTTCGCCTTCAGTCCCTTGAGCCACGTCTTGCTCTCCTTCTTGAACTTGCCATGCTTCACTTCTGCGGTAAGGTTGTTGGCCAGAGCTAATGCATTGGCTTGGGAGAAGTTGCCATAGGCCTTTTGTGGGATTGCTGTGTCCCAGATGGAGTGCAGGTTCGTTCGCGCGCCATTGAAAGTGACGTTGATGAGGTTACCACCTACGGCGATATTCTCCACGTGGAGTGGCTGGTGAACATCGCCGACGAAGTGGATGACCCATTTCAGGGCTCTTTGCTGTTCGACGATGCCAACTGACTTCTGGAAAGCGCGGCTGGAGTAGTTGGCGATGGCGGAAACGATGCAACCCTCCTCAGGACAGTCACGCTCGTAGTCGATATTGCAGCTCTCAGGCGGATTGTCGAGCGCATCGATGTAGTGGAGCACTGAACTGAACTTCCCCTCCGGTTCAGAGCGGAAGCTATCAGCCCAGGTAGCCACATTGGCGAGATATGCGGATGAGGTGTCGTTCAAGAGGGTCTGCGCAAACTTGGCCGTCTTGTGGGAGACGAGGTTCTGTGCCATGTATGCCACTGCGGTGTGGCCGAGGGAACCCCACGCGGAGGCATAGGGAACTGCCGCAAGGAGAGGTAGAAGCGACTTCGATGGTGCCATCTTGGACGTTGAAGTTATCGGGCTGGTCGAAGTGAAGCAGAAAAGGAGCTTGTTGTTATGCTCACGGAGAGGACATGCGATGTTATAAGCAGCTGGGAACGGCACCGATGTCGACCAATAGTTCTGGCGGTATCGGCCATGGCCGTTTCGTCGCCACGATGCTTGATCGAGACCCTGTAGAGCGTGAGCGACGATATGCAGGTCCATAGGGATGCTAGCCCAGAAAGGAAGGTGCTACGCCACGATAGGCAGGAGCTGGGTAGCCGACCTCAACTTGAGCCTCTGTCAGAGAGCACGTTGTCTGTTCTGATTGGATAACCACGAAAACACAGCCGGAGATGAACATCTGAAGATCCCGTGGGTAGGGTAGCACGTTGTACGGGTGGGTGTCTAATGTATGTACCTACAAAACCAATGCAGCTAACAATGCTCCGAAGACAGCTAGGGTATCTCAAATCCGTGAGTCTTCGCCAAACGCCAGATGTAAATGCACGTTGTCACGATTGCGTCTATCGCTCCGCCTCTGCGGCATTGTCCTCGCCGCCTGCGTCCATATTGTTTGGCGCCTGGTCTTCGGCAGTCTCTTCTGGCGGAGCAGGCGGCCCTTCGATCAGGCGGAGCCACCACGCGGGAGGATCGAGAGGGCTGTGGTTGTTGTGCAGCGGCGGGTAGATGTCGTTGAAATAGTACCAGACTGGAGAAGGTTAGTTGTTGTCCTCAAGAGCTGGGAGCGCAGACGTACTATGGCCGACAACGATGCCGCACATCTCATCCTTGGGCACCGTCCCATGCATGATGAGCGAAAAGGCCAAGAGCACCCAGGGCAGGTAGGGCGCCTTGAAGACCAGCAGGCCAAGGAAACTGAGCATGGTGTCCGGGTTCTTCCTGCTCCAGATGTAGATGAGGGTGCTGGACAGAGCCGAGCCGAGAAAGGCCATGGAGAACATGGGCGCGATGCAGAGGAGCAGCGTCGAAGCGAATGTGAGGAGCCATGCGAAGTGTGCCGTAGAGCGGCCGGACGATTCCTCGAGCAGGCGCGCGTATCGCTGGAGGAAGAAGATGTGGTAGAGGAGGTCGAGGCTGAGTGGGCCGAAGTAGAAGAAGGTGGTGAGCAGTCGCCAGTACTATGCAGGTCAGTACGGGCTGGAATAACGCAGTGGTAGTAGTGGTAGTACCTGGCTCTTGAAGAAGACGGTGCGCACGCTGTAGAAGAGCTGGAAGGGCGAGATGATATGGCACTGCACCAGCACACTGGCACTCAGCGCCGCCGTCATCCACCAGCGCGTGCACACGGGCATTTCGTAGAACCACTGCTCGAGCGGAAAGCCTCCGGCCCCTCCCATCATGCCGTCCCCGCCTTGCAGAACATTCGCCATGCTGGGTTGAGCGCTCTAGGGATAACACAGGATGAAGAATGAGAAAGAGAGGCAAGTTGCAGCGCCTGCACTCAGATACCCAAGTAAGCAGCGAAAGGCCAAGTGTCGCTCAGCAAACGCAGCCGCTTTCCGAGCGTGTGAACGATGGAGCCCATGTGGCTACGTAACTTGTCCGATGGCCCGCCAAGGCGCTAGGACTAACAGCACGCGATCGCACCTTCCGCACACCGGGGGTCGGGTCCAAGCTCCTGCCCTGGGTGAATGCGAACCAGCCACAGCACCAGCCCCTCGTCCCAGTCGCGTCGGCAGACGGTCAAGATCGCGAAGGACGATGCGCCCGTGCCCCATTCACTACCGCGACCCTCGTACGCCATCTCATCGATATACCTGACGACGACGTGCCGACCGTTCGTCTTGTTGATCTTGACGCGCTTGAGTTTCGCGACTTTTCGCGCCGTGCACGAACCGTGATCCCTCCCTCGTCGCCAATCCCACGCTCCAATTGATCCACCTGGACCCCGACACATCGCGCGATATCCTTACACACCAAAACCAACATGTCTCCCAAATCTCCCACCAGAAAGAACAAGGCGCGACCGTCGCGAGGTGGACGAGCGAGTGTCGGAGGCAGGAGGGAGTCGGGCAAGAGACGTACGTAGTGCGCCGAATAATCAAGCCTGCGCATCCCAGCTGACCATTGCGCAGTTGGACAAGCAGGACCCGCTCCCGATCGCGCAAAGAAGCGCTACAAGCCTGGCACCGTTGCTCTCCGTGAGATCAAGCGCTACCAAAAGTCGACCGACCTGCTCCTCCTGAAGCTCCCATTCCAGCGCCTGGTAGGGACCCACACCCATACACCCTTATGACAAGCAGCTAACGTGCCTCCAGGTCCGCGAGATCGCGCAAACAGTCACAACCGAAGACGGCCCCAACAGATGGCAGAGTCAAGCCATCGTCGCCCTCCAAGAAGCCACCGAAGCCTTCCTCGTCAACCTCTTCCACGACGCCAACCTCTGCGCCATTCACGCCAAGCGCGTTACCATACAGCAAAAGGACATCCAACTCGCGCGTCGTCTGCGAGCAGCTTGGGGTGCGCCGGTTTGAGTTGGCACAGTTGTTTTGGCAGATACCCAATCTTCACTTCTGTTGGTACCGAGTTTGGAGGAAATGGGGCGTATCGTTGCGATCTGGAATTTGTGCGCATACCAGAGAGGCTGCTTTTGGGAAACAGTTGCGATTGGCGTTTCGTGGCGCAGAGGTTACTCGCATGAGGCTTGTCTCCAGGATTGTTATTGATTATTGTTCATATATGTGCAGCATACCGACTATCGAGTTACAACTACATCCCTGTATATCAGTATTTTGGATGATCAAATGGAACAGAAATTCCACGTCTCCCGTTTCTTGACTTCGACCTGAACGGCGTGAATCATCTGGGCAACGACTCCAATCAGACGCTGACTACCGGTATAGTTAGTGGCATTGGCAGTCGTCCGCCGTTTCTTGCTTGAGTTTCTTGTACGTCGACGAGGGCTTGGCTATCATCGTCTTCGCCGCGTGCGAAAGGCTCGACAAGCTGGAGGAGCGCGGAACGCCGCCGAGGAAAGCTCCCCCGCCATTTCCGGAACGTTGGCTTCTTATCGCCGGCAACCCTCATCACCTTCCACATACGCATCGCAGCAAAGATCCAACCCTCCTCCGCAACCGGTAGCCGACCAACTAAGACATTACCGAATAAACAAGTGACGCAAAGCCTCCTTGGCAGCCTTGGCCATGCATTGTCCCCGCCCGTATCACGTCGCTAGAATGCCATTCGACGTCATGAACTGGCTGCCTCAGGTCGGTGCCGCTGCGGCGATGCACACGCTATAGCTCAACCAGGAAGCTCAATGTCTGACATGCAGGCACATGCAGGCTTGTACATGGTCGCCAGGCAGACGAGTCAAGGTACCCCAATGTCAAGAACCATCTATAAAGTTGGCACTTCTGGTACTTCCGTAGCCTATGCCCGCAGCAGATTGGAGAACTCGATCTCCTTCTACCACAGCGATCATGGTTGCATTCAGGCTGTCGCTTCTTGGAGCAGCTGGGCTTCTGAGTGGGGTTATCAATGCCCAGTTTCCTCCGACACCAGAGGGCGTGACCGTTCTTGAATCGCAACTTGATGAGGGAGTCACGATCTCATACAAGGAGGTAGGCCATCCTCCTCACAGTGCTTGATCCATATACTAATGACCCCAGACCGACCTCTGTGAAACCACAGAAGGAGTCCGAAGCTTCTCCGGCTATGTTCACCTCCCAGCTGGAGCACTTGCCGATCTCGGTGTCGAGAACCAAACCTACGAGATCAACACCTACTTTTGGTTCTTTGAATCGAGGAAAGATCCTGCCAATGCGCCTCTCTCAATTTGGATGAATGGTAAGCAGCTTGGAGAAGACATATCGCCATGTTGACTGACACCATCAGGTGGACCTGGCTCCAGTTCCTTTGTTGGACTCTTGCGTGAAAACGGACCATGTTTCATCGGTGCAGACTCCAACAGTACCTACCTGAACGAATGGTCATGGAATAACGAGGGTGCGCCAGTCCCAAGTGCAGCAGTTCGTCTGTTGAGTATCACGGCTAACGAACACAGTCAACATGCTTTACCTCGACCAGCCCGTTCAGGTTGGCATGAGCTATGACAGCCTGGTCAACATCACTACCAATCTAGACACTGGCGACCTTGAGGTAGTAGACTTCGGTAATGGCCCTGTTCCTCCCCAAAACAACAGCTTCTATGTCGGCACCTACCCCAGCGAAAACTCCAACCTCACTACACGCGGTACTGAGAACTCTGCACGAGCGCTCTGGAACTTCGCCCAAGTCTGGTTCCAGGAGTTTCCCGAACACAAGCCAAATGATGACAGGATCTCTATTGCGACTGAATCTTACGGGGGTCGTTATGGACCAGCGTTCGCAGCTTACTTCCAGGAACAGAACGAGAAAATCGAGAACGGGACGTGGAGCGAAGCTGGACAGACCCATCTTCTGCACCTCGACACGCTACTGATCATCAATGGCTGCATTGATCGTTATGTCCAATGGCCCGCTTACCCAAGGATGCAGTACAACAACACGTATGATATCAAAGCTGTGAACGAGTCGCGCTATGAGGAAGTGCTCGACAACCTTTACAAGGAAGGAGGCTGTCTCGATCAAATTGAAGAATGTCGTAACATAAGTCTTGTATACGACCCTACAAACCAAGGCTACAACGAGACCGTCAACGAGGTGTGCGAGGCTGCAGAGACATTCTGTTCCGAAACGATCCGTGATCCTTACTTTGACACCGACCTCAACTACTACGACATCTCCGCCCCAGGTGCAGCTGCCTTCCCGCCGCCATGGTATCAAGGCTGGCTCAATCAGCCGCATGTGCAGCAAGGACTTGGTGTCCCTCTCAACTGGACTCAGTCGAATTCGGCAGTATCGCGAGCATTCCGAGGTATTGGCGACTACCCACGTCCTGGCTGGAAGGAAGATCTAGCGTATCTTCTCGAAGAGGGTATCAAGGTCACACTGGTGTATGGTGACCGAGACTATGCCTGCAATTGTCAGTATTGCCCCAAGAAGGCTGCGTTTGAGACATGAACTGACACTTTGCACCGCTTAGGGTACGGTGGTGAACTGCTCTCCCTCGCCATTCCTTACGACAATGCCACTTCGTTCGCGGATGCCGGATACGCGCCTGTTGTCGTGAACGATACTTACATAGGTGGCCAAGTGCGTCAATACGGCAATCTGTCTTTCACTCGAGTATATGAAGCTGGCCACGAGGTACCAGCCTACCAGCCCGAAACCGCGTACAAAATCTTTACACGCGCTCTCTTCAACCGCGACATCAGCACCGGCAACATCTCTACGACCGAGACCCCCGACTACGCCAGCGAAGGACCAAGTGACGTGTACAACATCACCAATGAACCAATTGTCGATGAAGGCACGCAATGTTACGTTCTTGATCCCGGTCAATGCACAGCGGAGCAGTGGGAGTCGGTCATGAACGGAACGGCCCTGGTGCGGAACTGGATCGTTGTTGATGCCAACACTAGCTATCTGTTCCCAGATCTAGCTGGTAACGGCACATCGAGTAACGGCAGTACACCTTCTGGCACGGGCATGCCAATGCCCACTTACACCGCGGCTGCATCCGGTGGTCTCTCTGCGAGCGTTTTGGGCAGTGCGATGATTGCTGCGGTTGTAGGAAGTTTGGTGATGCTTTAAACAATAGCATAATAGTCGCGACGATATGAGAATCGCAATCATGCTCATACGATAACCATGATATCTGTAGTACTTACATGTGCTCCAGGCAAGCAATACATAGATACTGGCCTGTTCCACATCATCACATTATGCACTGGTGCATTGGATGCGCGTGACGTCATGACTTCAACACGCGAAACCGTACCTTTGTCTCGCAGATATGCACATTCTCAACGACCTCGACGCTTCGCAAGCTCTCCAAGCAGACGTGAACCCATGACCATGTCTCGTCCCATGTACTCCGCGTTCCAGAGACATCTACTCTTCTTCTCAACGCCCACATCTCCACCCAGACTTACCTTCGGATCCGCCCTCCGCGCAGGCGTATCAATCGGCCTAGACTTCCCCGTCGCAGTCCTCCTGAGCCTATCCCTCCGGCTCATGTACGCGCCCTTCCCCTTCCTCTGGTCCCCCATCATCGTCGATAAGATCCCAGCGTCAGCACATCGCACACAATTGAGCTCCGTCACTCTACCAAAGGGAAAAGCCGACTATACTTGCACCGAGCTGCTATCTCTTCTCAATAACAGCGCCGAGGAGAATCAGGGCAAGGGCTGGTTGAAACACAAGATTGATCAGGGGCATGTGGTGGGATTCTGGAGTATGGCTGCGAGTGCAAGGACGCATACTGTTAGGAGGGATGATATCGAGAGGTTTCAGCAAGGGGAGTGGGAGGAGCCTGTTGTTAAGAGGCGACGGGGGAGAGACGATGTGTTGCCGCTTTGGAGGGGTGGGCCGATATGGGTTGGGGGGCACAGTTGGGCTGTCTGGAAGGTTCTTGGAGTGAGGGTTTATGAGGATAAGAGGCGGTAGATAGTCGCATGATCTTGCGTGGACATCGTACAGAAAGAATAGAGTGCGCCTTTGACTCAGACTGCGGTGAAGATGGTACAGCGAAACCTGCACATTCGCGCCTGCGGATGAATGTTTTAGCGGCCTTTGCACAAGTTACAAACGGCCGCCTTCCGCAGTCTTGTTACACATGCTTATTTCATGGCTTACTTAGCATCACAAGCGCTCATAAATCCGCTGCCCGAATCTAGATCTTTGGCTGCTGAGTCGAAGCCCGCTTTTTTCCGAAGAAAAAGGGCTCTGCGCGTTATCAGATCCTGACTTTGACAGCGGTCGAAGTTCGGCGGACCCGCTTTTCTTTGCCTGACAGACGCAATTCCGCGCTCACGTAAAGAACGTTGAAGATTGCTCAGAAAAATGTCAGGAGCGATGGGCGCCAAACTAGGACGCGCATCGCGCTGTGGTCACCTTTGCACACATACTTCTACACGCTCTTCGAGTCGCGGTAGTCATTTTTACACAGACATCGCCTGCCTCCGCCTCGAGACGCGTCGTTGAGAATCGACGAGCACTGTCGTCATCGCGGTACCATCTCGGAACTCACAGCCAAAACGACATAGGCGCAGAAATTGAAGTCCATTCAGCACAAGTTTACATTCACGCTCTTTCGCGATAACACGAGCGTTTCACGATAGTCTCGAGAAGACACATTCCAGCAGGCGCTTTCCTCGGTCACGCCGTCGAACCATCTCGAAATGGAGGAACCAAGAGGCTCTTTAGAGCCAACAGGCGAGAAGTTCTCGTCTACCTCCGACCAGGACTTTGACGACAGCGACTCCCACGAAGACATGGACCACCGCGACTCTCGCCACTCTGCGCAAGCTTCCAAGCAGCAGGACCTGGAACTCGCAAAAACGAAGTCAATCGCAGAGACCATGTCTCCACTCCGCGAAGCTTTCTTTGTCGGTTTGCTCTGCTCTGCTCAGTTCGTCACACAAGCAGGTCTGCTCGGCACTCTCAATATCTTGCATATCATCGGATCCGATCTTGGTATCACCGACCCCGGTGTCCTGTCGTGGCTGATAGCGGGTTATTCGTTGACAGTCGGTACCTTCATCCTGCTATCTGGCCGTTGCGGAGATCTCTTCGGATACAAGAACATGTTGATCATCGGCTATATCTGGTTTGGCGTCTGGATGATAGTAGCCGGTTGCAGCGTCTACATTGAGGGAAATGGTGGTCAGGTGCTTTTCATCTTCTCGCGCGTGCTGGGAGGTATTGGACCGGCAATACTACTGCCCAATGCGCTTGGTCTACTAGGCGCAACGTACAACGAGGGAAAGAGGAAGGATATGGTGTTCTCGCTATTTGGAGCATGCGCACCCGGTATGTATTTGCCCATTGTCTTATGGATATTGCCTAACGTCATATAGGTGGTGGTATAGCTGGCGGCGCGTTCGCTGGTCTCTGGGCGCTCTTGTGGTGGCCATGGGCATTCTGGACGTTCGGTATTGCGCTGTTCTGCCTTGCCATTTTGTCGATCTTCATCCTCCCCTCAGTACCGCTCGATCCGGAAGTTCGTAATCTCTCGCACAGGGAACGAGTTCGTGAGCTTGACCTACTCGGCGCAAGTGTGGGCATTACCGCCATGATCCTGTTCAACTTCGCCTGGAACCAAGCGCCTGGTTTTGGATGGGGACACCCCTACATCTACGTCCTGCTAATAGTCGGCCTTCTTCTCTTTCCGCTTTTCTTTTGGATCGAGATTAAAGTCGCCAAGAAGCCTCTCATCCCATTTGATGCTCTCAGCACGGATGTCTCGTTCGTGTTGACTTGCATAGCCTGTGGCTGGGCCGCTTTCGGTAAGAGTCGCCTTTCCAGATACCTTTGAGCGCATGACTAACCACAGTTGCAGGTATTTGGGTTTATTACTTCATCCAAATGCTCCAGCAGCTGCGTGGCGAGTCCCCACTTCTCACAATGGCTCATCTCTGTCCTGTCGTGATCTCCGGCTTCATCGCTGCGGTCACTACTGGCCGTGTCATCTCGCGCATCGGCCCAGGATGGGTCATGCTTATCAGCATGCTAGCGTTTTTGACAGGCAACATTCTCGTCGCTACACTCCCCGTCAACCAGATCTACTGGGCGCAAACCTTTGTTACCACGCTCATCATCCCATGGGGCATGGACATGAGTTTTCCCGCCGGCACGCTGATCATGAGTAATGCTGTCGCTAAGAAGCACCAAGGCATGGCAGCGAGTTTGGTCAACACGATCGTGAACTACAGTATCAGTATCGGGGTTGGTATCGCAGGAACAGTGGAGGTGCACGTCAACAATGGCGGAAGAACGGCGAAGGATGAACTGCACGGTTATCGTGGCGCCATGTACGTTAGCGTCGGACTGAGCGGCATGGGTGTGGTGACGAGCTTGCTGTTCCTGCTCAAGATGTGGTTGAGAGAGAAGAGGGCACAGAACAAGATCTGAGTTTGCAGTCTTAGTATTCAATCTAGATTAAACATTACGGACTTTCTTTGGCGTGCAGTTCCGCAGCTTTGTGCGTGTGCCTGCCATCTCTGAGTGATTACGTCATCGTGTCGCACCATCCCGCGATCGCAATTTCTTGTTCATCGCGGTCACCCATCCGGCACGTCAGCGCCGCATTTCAGCATCAAGATACGACGGTGCTTTGATCAATGACATTTACCCGACTCGCGCCGTCCTGAGGAATCCAGGGAATTCAACGTCGAGTGGCGGATGATACGCACCGGATGATACCGTCAGGGTCTTTGGTACAGTCAACCGAGAGCGAGCTTATTCGCGAAATCGAAAACCGCGCAATCCACTACAGAGTAAGCAGAGCATCAACATCCCTTAGTCTGCTATGCTACCGCCCAATACTCTAAGCATGAGGTCCATTATGACGCCTCACGATGACCCGCCTATCTACCAGCTGCCGGAAGAGTTACTCCTGCACGTCGCCTCTTATCTTCCCGACGCAGCTGCACCCACGACCCTCAAGGACCTGAGTCTCACGTCCCGCAGATTTCGCTCTGTCGCCCAAGATGCCCTTTACACCACAGTAAAACTGTCCATGTCATGTGGGAGTCACCCCAAGGTGAGCTCCCTTCTGCAGCTGCTGCGTACTCTCTTGGACCGCGCAGACCTTGCTACAAAGATCAGAACCCTGCGCGTTGGGACAATTCGCAAGAATGTCGCGAAGCTTTGCGAACAGCAGGAATTCGACCTCGCGTCTCTACGCATGCGAAGCTTGGCAAAGCTGGAACAAATGGGAAATTCTGCATCGCATCCTTGGCATCGGACCATTCGGAATTCGATAGAGTCGGGATTTGCTGGACTGCTGCTCGCACTGCTTCCCAACCTCACCCACCTTGAAGTCTGGGTGAAAGATCATCCTCGCGGTCCGCCTTCAGGCGAGTGCATCTCCGGGCTTTTCGGGGGGATGTTCGCCCCTGCTGGCATTATTCACGGTTGGAGCACGCTTCGACATTTGACTACGAGCGACACACACTTGCTGAAGTCCGGCATTCACTATGAGAATCTTAAAAGCCTCGATCTAAAAACGATTTCCATTGGTACCATCCTGCGTCTCAACGGTCCTGGGTGTCTACAGGGCGCCGAGAACCTTGATGATCTAGCCTTGAGTGTCTCGATACAATTTGCAGATCGTCCCCTCGTTGAGAAGGCGGAAATCCAACTCAGTGACCTTTTTGAAGCTCTCGACTGCAGTCGGCTACGAAGTCTCAAAATGCAGTTGTGAGTTTGTTAGTGCATCATCTACGTTGCCCCTGCTAACATTCACTCGCGCAGTATCAACGACAGCTATCATCTCACTGACGATCGGGATACCCAGCTTGATGCAGGTTATCTCATAGATCAACTTGATAGCATGCGAGACAGTCTAGAAACGCTTGCAATCACGCATGAGATTACCGATGACGACTCGGATTTGGAATGGCTGCTGGAATTGCTGACGAACCAGAAGAGATCGTTTAAACACTTCACCAACCTCAAGCATCTCACCATTCCACAGTTGTTCATTTTCAATGCGGAGCCGGCAGATTGGCTGGAAGACTGCTGCCAGCCGAGAGATTTGCCACCAAAGCTCGAGACGTTGGAGATCCTTTATCCTCAAACAGATATAGAAGACTGGGTAGAGCGCTTCGAACTCCCAGAGTATCAATACAATAGGGCCTTAGCCATTCAAGCCAAGCTGCCCTCGGCTTTGCGGAGGATCACATTGACGTGTCGCGACGAAGTTGGCTCATCTGCATCGTTCTTCACAGAGTACGTAGACGCGATCTGGCCGAAGCTGTCATTGAGTCTCCAAATTCAGACGTATGTCTTCTGTCAGATCCAAGGAACTAGGTACAACTTGATAGACTCCTATGAGGAAGAGCATCGCATCAAGGACGAGGAAACGACTGACAGCGCAGAGGAAACGACTGATAGTGGAGACTACAAAGAGCATTCTGGACCTCGGGTGTATCCTACGACCGACAGCGAAGAGGAAACGACTGATAGTGAGACTACGTAGAGCATTCTGGACCTCAGGTATATCCTGTACGTGACACAGGGGAACACAATTTCGACGCAGGATCGGACGAATAAAGACTAGAAGCGAAGCCTTCTCGACCAACAGTCACTTGGTCTGGCAGCCTGCTTGCATGCCCTTATCAATCCACAGAAATGGACGCAGAGAGACTACATGCAAAGCCTCCTCGATGAATTCTCAATGGACCAGACGGACTGGACGGCTACAGCCTCAGTATTTGAGCCGGCGAGGCGAGGGTACGCCATGCCCGACTAGCGCACGGGCGCAGTGGTCCAGATGTTCATTGGAGGCGTTCATGCATGTTCCCGGTCAGCGATTCGAGCCGAATCCCGCCCCACCATCAACGCTTAGCCAAGATAGTCCTGCATGCAGCAAATATTGGGCATTGCGCCTGCTTATTCCCATGGCAGTAACAATTCGCGATATCATCATCCACATGATCAATACGATGTCCGGGTACCCGGTGACATCCTGTGGCGTTCCTTTCCAGGCTTCTGAGCACGCATCTAGTATGCAGCCTGATATATCATGCAGCCAACACGGACTACCGGTCTTGAGCGGGCAAATCCGAGCCCATCACTGAGGTAGCGTCTTGAGGTGCAAGTCAATGAATGGTACTATCTACGCGGAGATCAGTCTGTGTGCGCGATGCGTCAAGTCCGTCAGCCTCGTAAATTGGCGATATCTTCCACATGTCTATTCTTGGGCGTCTGCGGAGCTGGACTTCCGCATCAGCCTTGGACAGTGCTATTGTAAGCTAAGCTAGACGGGCATCATGGCGTTGGCGAGTGTGAGATGAATGATTATGGTCGAGAGGCGATGGGAACAGAGGTCAGCGTGTTGTAAGCTGACATGCCGCCAAAACCTTATCAAAGAACTATAAATTCGAAGCTTTCCTTGCATTGAGACTCATATCAGCAACAAAGCCGCTGCCTCCACTTCTCAATCTTCGACATGAGCTTCAGGTCCAGTCTATCAGCGATCTATATCGCCGTACTCATCCTAGCGGGTTCAGTCGACTCTGCCTCTGTCACTATCAGCCGTTCAGGATGGACCGCAACGTCGGACAGTTTCCAAGCTGGTAATGAGCCTTTTAAAGCGCTCGATGGAAATGCGACATCGTTCTGGCACTCAAAATATGATCCCGCGCCAGCCGACACTCTACCAAACTGGATCATCGTGGACATGAAAGCATCCTATAACATCAACGCCGTCAGTCTCCAGCCACGCCCAAGCGACAACGCCAATGGCAGGATTGGAGGACACAGGATCGAGATTAGTACCGACAACTCGAGCTGGAAGGTCGTCGCTGTCGGCACATACAACAACGATGCCACGACCAAGAAGACTTCCTTCGTCGCGAAACCGGCACGATATGTTAGGATCACAGCTACCTCAGAAGCTCAAAGCGCCGTCAACCAATGGACCACCGTCGCTGAGATCAACATCTTCCAGGATACAGCATACGCTCCGCCAGCGGCAGGCAAAGGCTTGTGGGAGAAGACTGTGGATTTCCCGCTTGTACCGGCAGCTGTCTCATTACTCCCGAACGGAAAGGTACTGATGTGGTCGGCCTTCGCGAAGGACAACTTTGGCGGATCCAGAGGCTTCACCCAAACAGGCATTTATGATCCTGCTACGGGCGAGTCGAGCCAGCTTCAGGTCTCCAATACACAGCACGACATGTTCTGCCCAGGTATCTCCCTGGACTTCAACGGCCGTGTTATCGTTTCGGGGGGCAGCGACGCTGCAAAGACCAGCATCTATGACCCTTCTAGTGACGCTTGGACCCCAGGAAGCGACATGCGGATCGCTCGGGGGTACCAATCTACCGCTACTTGCTCCGACGGGCGCATCTTCAATATCGGCGGATCATGGAGCGGCAACAGGGGTGGCAAGAACGGAGAGATCTATAGCGCTACTGCAAATACTTGGGCTCTGGTACAGAATGCGCTCGTCAGCCCTATGCTTACAGCTGATACTGCGGGCGTATATCGTTCGGATAACCATGCCTGGCTCTTTGGGTAAGTCCAGCGCCTGATAATCATTGAACTTATTGCTGACCAACTACAGATGGAAGAACCAGACGGTATTTCAAGCCGGCCCTTCGATCGCCATGAACTGGTACGATACTGTCGGATCTGGAAGTACCACAGGTGCTGGTAACCGCTTGGATGACGGGGATGCCATGTGTGGCAATGCGGTCATGTTCGACGCCACAGCCGGAAAGATACTCACTGCAGGAGGTGCTGCAAACTACGAAAACAGGTATGAACCGACTTTCGCATCACTCACGCAGCAATGCTGACTTCGTTGTCTTTTAGTGACGGACGCACAAGTGCCTATGTCGTCACGATAGGTGCACCAAAGACTAACCCAACCGTCGCCAAAACCCAGTCTATGACCTATCCGCGTGGTTTCGCGAATGGTGTCGCGCTTCCTGACGGAACAGTCTTCGTTGCTGGTGGACAATCGCGTCTGCACCCGTTCAACGACGACACGGCGCAGCTGACTCCGGAGCTGTGGGACCCCACTACTGGAAGATGGACACAGTTGAACCCCATGCAAATTCCCAGGACATACCACTCCGTAGCAATCCTCATGCCGGATGCGACCGTCTTCGTCGGCGGTGGCGGCTTGTGCGGTTCTTGCGGTGCCAACAATCACTTCGACGCCGAGATCTTTGTACCGCCCTACCTTCTGAACGCTGACGGTACAAGACGCGCACGTCCTGTCATAAGCACCGTAGCCACTACTGCCAGACTCGGCGCGAATTTGAGCATCACCACGACTGCGGCTGTTACCAAGTTCTCGCTGGTGAGGTTTGGCACCGCCACTCATACCGTTAACACCGATCAAAGAAGGATCGCATTAACGATGTCGGGTAGCGGTACGAGCTATACGGTGGCTATTCCGGGCGACCCAGGAGTCGCGTTGCCTGGATACTGGCTTTTGTTCGCGATCGACGCCAACGGCACGCCTAGTGTGGGCAAGACGATCAAGCTCGCTTTGTAGAGATGCATGAAGAAGAGCAAGGACCTATGTGCCGATTGTTTCGTCTTGGTTCAATCTTTTGCTACGTGAATCGCTTCCTGCTTTTGGGGTCCGACGTCCTCAGGCCGAGCACATGAGTATATTATGAGTTTGCGACAAGAACATCTGATACGCTTTTGGTTTTCACTTTTTGGTATTTTGTTTCCATTCAGGCACTCTTCATTGTGAGTTAAGCTGTCGCACGGTTGACTCATGGATTGCTTCGCTACATTAAATATACACATTAAGAAAGGGAACAGAAAGTAACAACACGCGCTCTCAAAGTCGACATCCTACCCGAGGCTCCAACCCCAGGTCATTTTCCAACGCGTAGTAAAAGGTCTTCGATCTATTTTTCTTCCGCTTCATTTCACGACAAATCTTTCACTGTCGCGTGGCTCTTATCGCCGATTGGCCTCCACAATGCCAGCGGCAATCTTCTCCGCGAGCGCATCTACGCGAATGTTAGCAGACGTCCGCACAACACTTGAGCTCGCATGGGAAACTTACAAATCGTACTGGTGGGGTGACCCGGCGGCAGGATAGGCAATGCACTCGCATCTACAACCCTCAAGCCCTTGACGCCATAAACCTTAGCTTCGGTGTCCACCACCGCCATGTTATCATCCTTCTTTCCCATCTTACACGTGCAAGACGCATGCCAGATAGTCATCAAACTGTCTCTCACTACAGCCAAGATCTCCTCGTCGCTGTCCTTCTCCTTGCCTGGCCAGTATTCGTCACCAATCACAACTTGCTGCATGGTTTCCGAGTTCCAGATCTGGCGCATGCGACGGTAGAGCGCGACGGCGAGTTCTTGGTCCGCAGGCGAGGTGAGCCAGTTGGGATTAATCAGAGGTGAGCTGCTCATGGATGCCGATTGCAGGGTAACGTTGCCGCGGGATGTGGGTGCTACGATGCCTCCGAGGATCGTGGCGTACTGCTTGCCATCTAGGGGTTGTTGGAGGACAGGGAGGGAGAAGTCGCCGATGTAGCCGTTTCCGCTGATAAGCTGTTCAAAGTTTGTGATTAGCGTCTATCCTGCATTGTCATCATCAAAAACTAGGGGCTTACCTCAGCTTCTGGCCAGTCATCGGTGAATTGGTTCAAGGCATCGACGGTGGACTGGGAGAAGTTTTGGCGGAACTCTTGGGGTAGCTTTTCCCAGCCGAGGAACTCGACTACGTTGGAAGAAAGTACGCCCTCGCCTTTGAGGGTGTAGTCGGCCAGTGCATCAGCAAGCGCGACGGGGTTGTGGAGGGTGTTATCCAGTGTGTTGAAGCTAACTTCGTAAGCCGGTCCGAACATAATGTGATCCCACATGTTCTGGCCTACGCCAGGGCGATCGGCAACCACGTCGATGTTGAACTTCTCCAAAGTCTCCTTTGGACCCACGCCCGATACCATGAGAAGCTGGGGGCTGTGGAAAGCGCCTGCGGAAACGATGACCTCCTTGGAAGCATGAATGTCGTAGGTAATGGCCGTGGACTGAACCCTTACGCCGGTCGCGGTCTTGTTGCCATCAAAGAGGATCTTCTGGGCCTGGGTGTTTGCGTACACGGCGAGCTTGTCGTTATCGAGCGCTGTTTTGATGTATTCGTCCGATGCACTGCGGGTCTGCTCCTTCGCGTCGATGAAAGTTTGGGTGTAGTGTGTTCCCATGAGTTTGCCGCTATCGAATTCGCTGGTCCTTTTCAAGCCGACTGCATGAAGAGCCTTCTCCATCCAGGTCGAGAATGGAGAGACATAGTTGGAGTAACCGATCTGGATAGGTCCTCCCGGTGTTTGGAAGGCACTCTCGTCGTATTGCGTAGTCACATTGTCGCCACGTATGGCGTCGTTCGGCTTGGTGAAGGTGACAGCCTTCTTGAAGTAGGGTTCAAAGTTGGCAAACGTGTAACTGTCGTCGCCCACAGCGTCGGCCCAGGTTTGATATGAGCCCTCCGTACCTCTGGAAAAGGATTAGTACACTGAAATCGGATGCAGAGACGGCTCTTCTTACCTATGGTGAATTAGGAAGTTGAGCGCAGAACTGCATTAAAGATCTTGTTAGTATTGTAATAAGCGTTGTGTTATAGGAGGTCCTTACGAGCCACCCAAGCATTTTCCCTGCGCATAGTGCACGCGTCTATTATCCGCGCCCGCTTGAGGCTCCGTGGTCAACACCCAATCAACAATAGGATCAGAGTCTAGAGGATTGGCACCGATTCCTACGATGCCACCGGCAGGTGTGGAGCCTAAAACAGGCTTTCCGATTTGGTAGTAAAGTCCAGCCTCAATGATGGCGACCGAGTAGCCCGCTTCAGCGAGGCGGACACCGATCGCATTGCCGGCGGTGCCACCACCTACGACAACGTAGTCGTACGTCTTCTCCACGCCAATAGCGCCTTCGATGGAACCAAGTAAACCTTGCACTAGCCCTTTGCCACTCAGTATCGAACCTAATGAGTCCAGAAAAGGGTTCAACAGTGAGTCCAGTATCGGCGCGGCATGGGTGTGTGGAAGGCCGAGCGAGGCAGTCAGAAGTACGCTAAGAAGCGAGTGCTTTTGAAGATGCATGGTAATAATGAATGACAGAAAACAAAGTTAACGAATGTGTTACGCAAAGGAGTGTGGCAGTATGAATCGTTACCAGGCATGACCTGGGGGGTCCAAGAAAGTCTATCGCATCGTTTAGGGGCGTGCGTACCATTCGGCCTTGTCGCGGAACTATTCGCTCGGATCGTATCGCCAGGCAGAATAGATCCCTGACGTGGCCGAAGACACCCCTCACCGGGCCGAATGTATACCTAGGGATGCCTCATTGTGGCTACCGGCAACCTGATCATCGTCCGAATCGGCAAGCCCCTTGCATGTATGGAATTGCGATTAGCGATGCTTGACCCAAAGTGAACGACAACATGGAGACATCTGAAATTGCGCGCGAAGATCCGAATGACTTCTTGGAAGAATACCGAAGCGCAAACTCGGAATGCCGTGAAGTCGAGAGCGTGAGGGCAAACGCAATGCGTAGGATTTGTCTGCCAAACTGTGTCAGGCCAAAGACATCAATCTCCGATTGATCGCGCGCTAGAACAGGCAGGTAACTCCACGATCCTGATTCCCCGCGACAATCCCGCATGCCGACACCCGCAATTCCCTTCTTAGAGATCCCGGGGGGGCTGGAGTGGTTTCTCTGCAATGTTATTCGATCGTTGGATTGTGGGGAAGATTTGGAGTGCGGCGTACAGCCAAGAAAGCAGGCATCTGGATCCTTCGCGCCTTCGATGCTGCGACACTTCTACTTCGATTGCATCTCCAAGAAGAGAGACGCCACTAAAGACATTTGATACCTGCGGATTATGCTCCCCACGTTACCCATATAGAAAATTTCTGACTGAGCTAAGAGTTAGGTCTTGCGAAATCCCGTACATGCCCGTTTCGGTTTCTGACGAATAAACTCGAGATAGCTATGGTATACTTCTATCCGGCGCTGTGACTATAGAAGAGAGCTCCTCGTGAAATGACCCGGAAAAGTTTAAATACTGAAACTCTCGTTGTCGGGAGAATCTCCCGGGGCCCGTCCCAAATACCCCGGATAACTTTCAAAGCCGAAATGCCCGCTGTCTGGGAAGTCCGCGAGCGACTATTGTAGTCAATATGTATTATCATCATCCAGTTTTAAGTTGGACTTCGAAAAAGATACCCATATGATCTACTGGGAGCACGCAACGCCATCAATTCGTCAACATTCAAGATCGCATGACACATCAGTACCCTACTTGAATCATTCAACTCTTTTGGGAATCTTCATTGAATCTGAAAGTGAGGGTTTAAACCGGTTGTTGACAAGTCTGCTATCCTTCGTCGGTAACTCTTATCGGACATGAGGACTAACGCCACGATGGAAACTCCCGACTCAGATCAATACTCATCTAGTTCCTTTAGCCCAGTGCCGGTGCATAGCTCAGTAACAGAAGCAGAGCTTGGAGAACTTGTAGGTGTCAAAACTTACAAATGAAGAATCGCAAGTTGACAGATCTAAGGGAGAATGTAACGACGTAGCCGTCATTGGCATGGCCTGCCGTGTGGCCGGTGGAAACCACAGCCCGGAACAGCTATGGGAATCTATCCTGGCGAAACGAGACGCTTCGTCCGAGATCCCAGCTATGCGATGGGAGCCCTACCGCCACCGTGACGTCCGCAACATCAAAGCGCTCGATGAAGCGACGTCGCGTGGATACTATCTGGACGCCCTGGAGGACTTCGACCCCAGCTTCTTTGGAATTTCGCCTAAAGAGGCTGAGCAGATGGACCCGCAGCAGCGAATCTCTCTCGAAGTAGCGTGGGAGGCGCTGGAATCTGCAGGCATAGATCCCAAGAAGCTCTCCGGAACTGACACTGCCGTGTTTATGGGAGTAAACTCTGATGACTACGGAAAGTTGCTTTTAGAAGATCTTCCCAACATCGAGCCTTGGTTAGGTAAGATCTTTTACGACTATTAGTCTACTGACGCTTTGTGCGATCTGCATGTTCCCGTTCTAACCCCCCGGACAGGTATCGGGACCGCATATTGCGGTATACCGAATCGGATATCCTACCACCTAGACCTCATGGGCCCGAGCACGGCGGTTGATGCGGCATGCGCAAGTTCACTAGTTGCGATTCACCATGGACGCCAGGCAATCCTGTTGGGCGAGTCGAAAATGGCTATTACTGGTGGCGTAAATGCAATTTGTGGGCCTGGGTTGACGCGGGTGTTAGATAAAGCTGGTGCTATATCGCCCGATGGCTCGTGTCTGTCATTCGATGACAATGCACATGGTTATGGAAGGGGGGAAGGTGCCGCAATCGTAGTGTTGAAGCGCTTTCGGGATGCGATAAGAGATGGAGATAACGTCATTGCTATCCTCAAGGGTTCTGCAGTCGCTCAGGACGGCAAGACGAACGGTATTATGGCCCCGAACGCGAAAGCACAGGAACTTGTTGCCCGACAAGCCCTTAAACGAGCAAACGTCAACCCTGCGACTGTAGAGTACGTTGAGGCTCATGCGACATCGACGCCTTTGGGGGATCCGACCGAGGTCAGCGCAATATCGGCGGTTTACGGTGTATCCAGATCGAAGCCGGTGAACGTAGGATCAGTGAAGCCAAATGTCGGCCACCTCGAAGCAGGTGCGGGAGCAATAGGGTTTATCAAGGCTGTTCTGGCCCTGAACAAGGCGCAATTTCCGCCGCAGGCCAACCTCACCAAGCTCAACTCTAAGGTCGACTGGAAGAATTCGGGTACAGAAGTAGTGCAAGAGGTTTCCGACTGGCTGGACGTGGAGGCGCATCCACGTCGGGCGGCTATATGTTCATATGGATATGGGGGCACCGTTGCTCACGCTATCATCGAGCAGTCTTCGTTTCGCCTTGCTACGATGAACCAACAGAACAGCGGATGCGCTCACGCCCCAGTCACGCTTGCGATCTCGGCCCCACAACGAAAACGACTTGCTGGACAGGCGGACTCGCTGGCGAGGTGGTTGATGGGTCCAGGGAAGAGAGAAGATTTGAGGTCAATTGCAAACACCCTTGCTCTCCGCCGCGCTCATGATGAGTACCGAGCAGCATTTGCTGTTACCAGTGTAGAGCAGGCAGCGGAAATGCTCAAAGTATTTGCCGAAGGTGGTAACAACGGCGAGTGGAGTTCTCAGGGCAACGCGCTCGCGACGAACACAAAGAAAGATGTTGTTTGGGTTTTCTCAGGTCATGGCGCACAGTGGAACGAAATGGCGAGGCAGCTGGTTGCCAATCCCGTCTTCCACGGCGCTGTTGAGCCCTTAGACCGCATCGTGCAAGCAGAGGCTGGGTTCTCCCCTATCGAGGCGTTCGGGAAGAGTGGCAGCGACTACGACGAGTCCGATCGGGTGCAAATCTTGACATATGTCTTTCAAATCGGACTCGTTGCTTTGCTTAGGTCAGAAGGAGTCAGTCCTGGTGCCGTCATTGGGCATTCAGTGGGAGAAATTGCCGCCTCGGTGACAGCAGGCTGCCTTACCCCAGAAGAAGGTGCCTTGGTTGTCGCCAGAAGAGCTGGACAGTACGCCAAAGCTAAAGGTCTTGGAGCTATGTTCCTTGTGCATCTTCCTTTTGACCAAGTCAAAATGGAGCTCTACAATGAGCAAGGTGTTGTGGCAGCAATTCATTCGTCGCCCTCAGCTTGCGTCATTAGCGGAAGGGTCAAAGCCGTTGAGATGTATGTTGAAAAACTCAAAGAACGAGGCATCGAGGCAATGAGGGTGGCGACCGACATTGCGTTCCATTCTGCAGGAATGCTGAGTCCGCTGGCGCAACCAGTGAGGGATATATTAGCGAAGGACATTCAGCCTCGGCCAGCAACGATCCCTCTCTACTCGACCTCCGACCCTGACCCACGCTCAGACAGCCCAAGAGACGCCGAATATTGGGTTCAAAACATGATCAGCCCTGTTCTACTCACGTCCGCCGTCAAGGCATCTACTTCAGACGGGTTTCGACTGTTTCTCGAGGTGTCCAGTCATCCAATCGTGTCCCATTCAATCAACGAAACCATCATAGATGATGGAATTGAGGACGAAGAGTTCGTAGTCATCCCAACGGTTCGCCGTCGCAAGTCTCCGGAGATGTGTGTGGCGCAAGCTATCGGCACGTTATACACCAAAGACGCAACCATCGACTTCAACAGGTCTCTTGGCCGTCGATGGGCACCGGGAGTGCCTGGTACGCAGTGGGTGCACAAGCCAATCTGGAGAAAGGTGCATAGTGACAGCTCGCTAGGTGTTGACAGCCCCACGCATGATGTTGACAAGCACACTCTGCTAGGCCAGCTGATCCCCGTTTCCGGGACTGCAACCAAGACGACCTTGTACACCACCAGATTGGATAATGACACCAAGCCATTCCCAGGCAATCACCCACTCCATGGGACTGAGATTATGCCCGCTGCCGTGCTTATCAACACTTTCTATCACGCGACAGGGGCTTCCACTTTGTCCAACATTGATCTGCGCGTCCCAATAGTCATTAGCGATGTAAGAGACGTCCAGGTAGTATTGGTGGATGACAGCATCAAGATAACCTCACGGCTGCGCCAAAGCAGTG